CGAACATTAAATGGTGTTAATCAGAGATAATTAAAAATTACATTAGCAATTTTGTTGTCAACATTCTATGCAGGAAATTTAATAACCTATGAAATAAAAACTCAGTGGAATTTAGCGAATTAGGTCGAAATTTTCTTTTTAAATAAATACTAAAAAAATAATTTCTGTTTAAATAAATTGTAAACATCTTTACACAGAGTGCAGATAATGGTAGAAGAGAATCGATGCCGAAGACAATGTCTGATTAACGTGTGTGACTGAGTGTAAAGAGATCAGCCAGGCATTAAGCGTTCGAATGCCTCTCGACTGTCCTGCTGCGGTATTTAGTGTTAAGTCATACCCGAGGGTGACTTTGGGTAATATTTTTGCATCTATTCTGATAATAAAAATGAGTGTAAACAAAAAAAAATCCCCAGTAAAATTTTTAATTCCTGTAATTCATGACGCGCCAAATAAGGTAAGAAATTATTCAAACCATCGTGTCAATTATCAAAATAAAGTTAATCGCATCACATCAAATAACGTTGTCACTAGGATAATCTATCTATACAAAATTTAGTTATGATGTACTAATAAACCAATTTAATAATGCTAATGGTACGTTGGTAAATGCCTTATCATATCCGTCTATAAATTATCTTCAAAACGCGTTCCGAGAACTAATATTTGTGTGAGAGAATGAGATAAAAATGGCTAAGTAAGATCAAAGTTAATTTACAAATTATGGAAATATTGTCTAATTTGCTGTTAAATGTCATGTGTATAAATACGATAATACTTTGTTTTGTAAATATTAATTACAGCAATATGGCATCAATTTCGTCTCTTGAAGAATCAATAACGTTCTGTGCATATGCATAAAACTGACAAGCAAATCGGTGGCAAATTGAAAAGCCATAATAGTTTATGCATTTCAGACAACGATAATTTATATTTTATAACTCTTGAACTCTTTTACTTATAATAGTTCCTTGTCACTTATAATTCTTGGTTTGTATATTCAGTTTAAAATATTTTTTTTTGAAAAATGTATCTGAGATTCACATGGAGTACTCCGTCAGTGCTTGATTCTACGAGCATTGCGAACTTACAAGTTGAAGAATACTGAAATATCTCTTCATCAAATCTGATAATGCATCATTGAAGCTCATAAAATGAATGAGTAATTTTCCGTATTAAGGCTATTGCATTCGAATTAGTCTTAAGTGCTTTTAATTTCTCAGTTTGTATGTACTTTCGCGTTTATTGCATTACTAACGTCCGAGGACACAGGAAGACAACAATAATGTTCTACGTATAAGGAAGCGGTCAGGCACGAAATTAGTTCAATAAAACAATTGACATGTATGACCTCACCTCTCCTAGTGATAATGCGTAACACAAAATACATTCTTCTGTTTAAAATACTTTTGCTCATTTACATTGCTTCTTTAACAGATATTGTCGTAAGTGACTCATTTATATAACAGCAATTTTTTGTCAATATAGGGAGAACTTTCAAATAATTTTATTAGAACCCAGATACGAATTATTTCAAACTAATTTTTATCTTCAATACTTTAATTTCTACTTTCTCGCGTACTTTTTATGTAGTACAGAGAAATTATTTTGGATCGGAAAAGGGTGATTTTTTGACAGACAAACTTGTGGGTCACCGAAAATATGGATAATTCCTGACCTTCTATGTAGTAAATAACAGCCTCTACAACAACTTCTTAAATATGTTGTGTAGTCCGAATCCATGTTTTGTGATTCTTTGATACTGAAATATGCTTTACGGCAAAAATTCCGTCTGTCCGGCCATATGCCCCACACTCCATCTGTGCATCTCTCTTTAAACATTACTAGCGGCTAAAACCTTAGACAAGATTTTTTTTCCTTTATCTTATCGCTCTGGCTCATGTTATGACCACTTGAATTTGAATCGGACTTACAGAGGAACTTTTGCATGAAGTCCCCACGACAGTTTCAAATTTATCTCAAAAAAGGCTCCAATTTTTTCTCCCCGCCCCCTCGAACAGAGCGAAGTACTCCTATAAATATAGCACAGGTCCGATTTTCCGAACAGTACAAAAACAAAAGTCTCATTTGAAGAAAAGTGCCTTAACAACTTTTTTTATCCACAGACATCCATAAATATATTATTCTGACAGGAAAGGCAATGCATGATCAGTGCTAGCAATATTTTTTTCACATTCCAATGTATATGCTAAGTACCCTAACAGTTCAAATATTATCGACTTGTTCTACATGTTTAACCGAAAAATCGCTTTGAACTTAGTATTCGCAACAAATTAAGTAAAATTTACGTTTTACTCAACAACATTCTGTTTGGAACAAATTTTGATTAACAAAATTCGATTACCAGAAATTAACACTGAAATGATAATAGATTCGTAATTCATTGATAGATTGCGTCTTTTCATTATTTGAAAATATCTAACTACCCGAATACCATAGGCTTACTTTTTTTACCATATGTCTTCGTTTACTTTCAGATTAAACATCGCAAGAGGCACTTCTAATACGGTAACATTTTCTATTCTAATGCACTGGTAAGTTTCAGGTATAAATAATTTATCTTTTATTTACAATACTAACTAAAGAGTTGATTTTAAATTGTCTGAGGGAGCAAAGAGCTCTGTGAAGAAAAGGTTTTATGCTGTGTACCTGAGGGAATGGAAACCTTTTGCAACCAAAAAGCTGGGAGAGAGTAAAAAAATATTTTTTTTACTTTTTAGTGATATTTTAATGCCTTCGATATGGAGCTCGACATACATACATCAGAATCGAGAGGATAGTTGTTACAAGGGCAGTATAAAAACAGTTGAATGACGCTACACGTTCTTTCATGACGAAAACGACGAGAGGGAATTATGAAAGTGGATTATG